TTTTCAAGAACACCAAGGTAGGGATTTTCTTCCATTCTTGTCNCAGAGATTTAAGGGTTGATTCAAGATCAAAACCCTAGTTCTTCAAGAACACCAAGGTAGGGGTTTTCTTCCATTCTTGTCCATTGATGCTAGGGCTAATTTATATGTATGTTTTGACTCCTAATCTTATGTATTTGCTATGGGTNTCTTTGTTTTTTGGTCTTTTTTCAAAGATTATCATGTTTTAAACAAAGTTGGGGTTGAATACCCATGAAATCTCTTTTTCTTGATTTAAAACCCTAGTTTTCAAGAGTGATGGATTTTTCTTTTGATTCTTCTTTGGTTCTTGATCTCAAAACCTTAGTACTTTGTGTTGATNCCATGAAATATCTTTTTCTTGACTTAAAACCCTAGTTTTTAAGAGTGACGGATTTTTCTTTTGATTCTTCCTTGGTTTTTGATTTCAAAACCTTAGTGCTTTGTTTTAAGTAATAAAATGATATTGATGATGATCTCTTACATTTTCTTCAGTGTTCTATTGAAATGATACATGCGAAAATTTGGGGATTGTTGAAATTACTTGTGCTCTTGGAAATACGCATGGAATTGGAGGTTTTGGAAATTGTTTGTTATTGATGGAATTGTTGGTATTGTATCTCTTGTGTGGTTGTTTGGATAAACATGGGCTACGATTGATTGGGTATCATGGAGTGGGTAGACGTCTTCTTACTTCGTGCGGGTTTGGACATATCCTACCACTCGTAGTGGGGTTGGTGCCTTGTGAGGATCAAACCACTATTAGCTCATGGGTGCCTTGTCAGAGGATTAATATACTAATGCATGGGTTGGATTCGTCACTACCATTGTGTTGGCACACGCCCTTCCCAAAGGTTGGATATCCTTGCGAGGATTTGTGTTTGTGGATATATAGGACATGATGCTTTCGATGGTGACCATGATAGATCTTACTTCATACCTGAGATATGAATACAATGGTGAGTTATTGTTCATTGTACCAGAAATGGTTTCTACAAGAATCTTGTGAAGTATGGAATTCTACAAGAACTTGGGAGAAACGGTTTATGGTGGAATGAATTATTATTCATATATCATAGTGGTGGGTTATTGATCATTGTACTAGGAATGGTTTCTACAAGAATCTTGGGAAGTATGAGATTCCGCAAGAACTTGGGAGAAAAGATTTATGGTGGAATGAGTTACTAGTTGTATATTGGTTCCACTTATGCATTAAGTTACTGCTGTTGTTTAAACTTGAGATCTGTTTAAATGTCCCTGTTTTATTTCAAAATTCATATATGCTATTTGTGAAAGGTGACCGACCGTTTTTATATGCTTTCTAAACCTTGTTTGAGTTTGGGAGGATTTTTCCTACAGAGCTTAGTACTCACCCCCTACAAACAAACATTTCTCAGATTATATCCAAGAGGAGGATCTTGGAGGCGATGAGCAGGTATCTTAGGAGACTTTGACAGAAGAGAACATGGATTCTGAGGTGGACGCCTAGAGCGACTTTACCTTTTTGTTCTAGACTCGATAATTCATTTTGAAACATTGTAAAGTCTAGCTTTCTTTGGTTATTCCGCTGCACTATAACAGTTAAATGTTTGAGATGTAAGCGCCATAGTGTGCATATTCTTTTGGAAAAATGTTGTAAATTTTATGAATGATGAATGAAATCTTATTTATTTATAGATCATATTAGTTGCTCTTATGATCTGAATGGTTTCAAATTGTAATGCATTCCAAGGTGATTTTTGAGGCGTTACAATAGCTTTTTGCTTTGGCAAAATGCTGATGGAAATAATGAATTTTTGCATCAGTAGGTTGTCGATGCAAATAGTCATTTTTTTGCATCAACAATTTGCCGATGCAAATAGTCTTATTATAAATTTTACCATTTTAAATATTCATTATTTGCTTTAGTGATTTGCCGACTAAAATAATCCCTTTAAATATTTTTTAATATATATTCGTAACTATTCCCTTTCATTCATACATATTATCTATACATGATTTGTCATAACCATAATTCTTGTCTTAAATTTTTTAAAAAATGAATACAAAAAATTGTAATTCTCATAAATACTCAAACTCTAGTATCCATATCAGAACAATATCCTCGAAATTGCCAAAAATATAAATAAATAATCAAAAAAACTAAATATACACTTTTTGGGAAAAGAAATACACGATTAACATTACTCTCTCCTCAACAAGTCAAGAAAGTCTATAACAACTTTATCCTTGGAGGTCAATGTGCTCTCTACTTCCTCTGTCGCGATTTTGTTATATATACCAAGTTCGAACTTCTTGATACGAATTAGTACCGCGTCCTTGGTTCAACTTTCATTTACTCATATCTTCACACAAACAAGAAAAATAATACGGTTAGACATTTTCCAACAACGAAGAAATTATTTTTTTCTAGGAAACTTCATAAGCACATAAATCAACAGTAGACAGAGTTTATCTATGGAACTTACAAATAACACTAGTAATAATCTGTGCCTAAAGGCACTTTGCAACCTACAAAATGCCATCAATTTGAAACAAGTTTTCCTTCATTTGCTTTACTTAAAAAAAATTGAACTTAATCTAGTCTTTGCGATTTTTTCAACCTATTCTTTAACTTTCTCTTAATCACCATCACCCCGAAGGCACTGTATAACCAAACCAAAGTCCATCATACACATATTTGAATAGATCAAAACCTAGCACCCCCTCCAACAACTAGAAATAAACCCAACATATTATACCAAAGATCAAAATCACTTAAAAGGACTAAAATTTAAAACAAAAAAATGATCTTTGATCATAGGATCAAAGTCAAACAAGTAGCATTGGCAATATATGAAAATTGAACTAATTTGGTCATTCAATGTATAGTACAGATCAATTCCAATTTCCAAATACCATCAGCATCAAATTTTCATAACAAAAAAACTAAACCAAGATAACAACTACTCGATAATTCCAATCAAGAACTAGTTCAACTCAATTTTCCTCATCATCCACATGAGTGCATAAAATACTACTCCTTATTAATCATGAATGAGAGGACTAAGACATGATACATTAACTCTACATGGTGTTCCAACTTGAAGAAGCTATTGGCCATGCCTAAACGTGTATAATATGTGATGAGACAATTTGTTTTTGTTGAAGACGTATAGGGATAAATCCTCAATCAATCATATTAAAGAAACAAAATATCTCTTACCAGATTTTATTTATATATTGTGGTGTGGGCGCTTGATTGGTTTCCTTTACTTAGTCTCAAAATGGAACAATGGGCTTCCCAAGCGTAGGAAAATTTTGCAGTGTAATAACTTCGATAAATCCAAGGTCATCTCCTCAAGGAACTGATGGAATTTGATTGGTGATTTGTGTGCACAAATGAAAGTAAAAATCCTTTGGTTTGTGGAAAATTTGAGAAATAGAACTCTGATGTATGGAAATCAAAAGAAAACAGTCGCCCAATCCTTAGGAATTATCTTGTCATAATCAAGCTTATCGATCCTCATTTATAACTCATCTCAACTCATAATCAAATTCATTCGGACGAAAAATTTTCAAAAACCCCTAAATGTAGAAGATGTGTAACTTTGAAGATGGGTACTACAATCTCTGGTGGTAAATATGTAGATGTCAATCTATACTCTAATCATTAATTGTGCCGAAGGTCCGTCAATGATTAATCAAAATGAGTAAATAAATACTAGTTTCCAAAAGTGATTTGTACCATCTGAAAAGCATAATACTTGGTAAGAATATGTTAGAGGATCAACAAAGCTCAATCACAAGCAAAAATCATCCCTTGGATCATGCAGAAACTTAGCTGGACGCAAAACCCATAATTCCAAAAATGACAATAAATAACATAGCAAACATATGTAAAATAACACCTAGATTAAAGAAAATTTGTAGACTATGATTGCTTCTCAAGTGCTAAGTTCAAATACAAAGATAACAAAGCTTTGAAATTAACACAATATTTGTCTTCTCCAAAACCTGGCGAAGCTCTTAAAATGGAAAATTTAACAAAAACTTAGCTTCTAAGATCTAAAACAAAGTGAAAAACTAGAAAAAAAATTCCTTTATTCTCATTAGACATGGAGTATGGCACAAGTGATGAGTGAAATGTTGAAGAAGCTTCCTGGAGCTTTGGGAAGTGGTTTCCACCAATAGGGATGAACTTCATGGGCATTGGTAGTCTCCCATGAGTGTAGGAATGAAGTGGCCGACACCACGCACCAATGGCAACTCAAGAAAGTTGTTCTCCATGTAGCCAACTTAAGACCAATCAGTTGAAATTGTATGATGAACCGGTTGGAATGCCATGATGAACCGGTTGGGGATTGGTCATCAACCGGTTGAAGTATGCTTAGTACTTTTTTACTTTTTTAAAACTCCTTTGACAAACAGGTTGAAATAAACTTCAACTGGGTGAAGCTTTGTTTCTGCGCTGTTCAACCGATTGAAGATGAATCGGTTGAAAGTCTTTTTCCTTAATTCTTGCTAATCTTCTTCCTATTGCTTCTCCACTTCCTCCTTAAGCCTTTCCATAGCATTTCCCTTGATCTTTATCACTATTCTTATAGCTACAACCACAAATGTGACTTTAATCAATTTACACGCCCAACTTTTAAGAATATTCAACCATTAGATGTATAAAATGAATGGATTATGTTATGAAATATACAATGTTAAGTGCTAAACATACCGCCCAACTTAAGTTTGCTACTCCCTAGCAAACAAAAGATAAAAGATATGAATCCCATTCATTCATAATTAGAGTTATAACACATTTGTCACACAATCAATCAAAACATAACCAACAATTTTAAAACACAACATACACAACTAATATATATATATATGTTTATGTTAGTGGGTACAAAAGTAAGAAAAATATAACAACTTTAGGACACAACCTAAGGTTTATTGTCCTAAGTCACTACATAACCCATTTAGACAACTCCTATAACACAACAAAACTAGCAAATCCTAACCCCCTCATCATCCTTATCAAAGTCAAACTCGGCCTCTGCCTCACTACTCTCAATATCCACTCTTGGATCTCGAGGCTCAGTCACAATTGCAGGTGGCAGTTCAGGTGCTGAAGTAGGTGGAACAAGTATTGAAGAAGTAGCAACAATAAGAATCAATGAAGGTAAGACTGGCAATGACTCTCCTAGTAGTAAAGCTATAAACATCCTCCTCTGCATCATCAAAGATAGCTCCAAGACTATTGCCATTTGTACTTGGGATGCCTTCATCTCCCTAAACCCATGCTCCAAATCATCCATCCTCTGCTCTAGCCTCCCCATCCTCTGAAGTATAGTAGTCTTAGGAACTGGTGGAATAGGACTGGAGCTCGTATCCCAAGGTGCAGTGGAAAGACCAGTAGGTGCAACACCAACAAAATTAGGCCTATACCTAGTAGCTCTAGACATGGTATCACTCTTACCCTTAGACTAGCTACTAATAGGCCCCTTCTCAAGAGGAGTCAAATGATCCTTCACATACCTATTCACCCCTGCCTCAATACAAAAGTGTCTAATCATAGCACCAAAAGGCATGTTCCCCCTAGCTTGCTTCATATAAATAATGCCACATCCATCCTTGTTCCCTCCATCACCTCATACAACAAAATAATTTTCAAGATAGGCAACTACTTATCTGACCCTTTGGCTTGACATTGTAGTGCATAATTTTACTCATGGTCCTATACTCCTAGGTCAAACTCCCTACAATAAACTATCCATCAAATTAATTTGTATACTTGTACATCCATCTCACATACTCTACCAAACTCTTAGTATTGAACTTAAAATGTGGGTAATCGATCGTATCAGGTGGTGGCCTAGCATACTCCATGTACTTAGCTATAGTATCCGGTGTCACTTGTATGATCTTACCACATACCATGGTCCTCAAAATCTCAAGATTTGAATCAAATTTTCTCAATCCACTATAGAACTCATGACAATGAGTAATAATATACCTGTGCACCAGCTGAACAAATAAATTTAAGCCTAAACCCACCAACCTTCTCACAATCGTTGAATTAGCTATACTCTTGTGGTCAACCATCTATTCACAAGTGACTAATTTCTTAGCAATGATAGACTTGTGTTCATCCCTGTATCTCTTCCTAAACTCAAGCTTAGGGTAGGCTTATCGTCACCATCACCATCTCCATTTCCATCTCCATCTCCCTTCACATTAGCTTTTCCCTTTCCCTTCTCCTTTCTTGATGCTCTTGGCTTTGAAGCCAAAGATGAAACTCCATGGGTGTTGTCTGTGCCTACCAAAACCATACCAATCATCATAGAAAACATAATCCACATCCAAAACCAAGAAAACAACCCCTTAGAGAAACCCTTAGATGAAGAACTCAAAGATTTCCTCTAAGCCATTGATGAAGCATAGGGTTTGGAAGCATAGAAATTTTTGATGGAGATGAGAGAGAGAAGATAGATGGAAGGTCTAAGGTTCTTGGGGTGATGGGTGGTAGTTTTCAGAAATATGCGGATAGTTTGAGAGAATGGGTGTAGATAAAATGTAAAGATTTGAGCCAAAAACCGTTGTTCTTACCTTTTTAAAAACCAAATTCTAACTTTAGTTCAACCGGTTGAATCACTTCCCCCTCCAACCAACCGGTTCAATTTCAACTGGTTGGTTCTTTCCTCTTTCAATCTTTTTTTCATTTTTTCATTCTCTTTCTTTATATATCAATCCTAACACTTTCTAAAACCTATTTACACGCCTAAAACACCTAATTGTACACAACATGATATTTAAAACATCTAAAACATGTCTTAAACTTACAAATTACCTACAACTTAAATTGAATTCCAATCAAAGGAACTAAATGAAACCTAAGGTCACTTTCGTAGGGTTTATGGTTGCATTTAGCAAATGAAATAAGCCTTTAAACCCCTAGGTTACTCCTAGTGGACAAGTTGTGTCTAGTGAAGGTTTTTAGTGAAGGTACCTACAAACTTTTCTTTTATTACAAGTCCTGGACTTAGAGCATATTATAATCTTCTAACTAACAATGAGATGCCACAACAATTCCCCCATCCACTTAAAGACATTTGCACACCACTACATCACAATTTTAAATGCTATGCAAAAGTAATCACATACACATTTCCATTAGAGACTCGTGTCTGTGTGTGAAATGATAATGTAATTTAAGAAATTTATCAAATAAAATCCACATCTATATTAACTATCCAAACTTAGCTTCAATGTAAATCTCACCAAGGATTTTCTCTCAAAACATACAATACTCTGATTATACTAGCGTTTCAATCATTGTCTATAGGTGAGACAAATTCTTATAATTCAAAGTAAAGCATAGCTCACATATATTCTAAAAATGACGTACAATTATGCAAATGAAACGACCTTGGCATAATTTTAGGCAAATGAAAGTAATTCAGTTGACCAATCCTTTACTTGACTTAGAACATACACTTATCATAATTTTTGAGATCAAATAGGACTTTAACTGGTTGTAATAGTGGCATTGGGTAAAAATTGAGCTAAAGAAATGAAGGGATGAGTTATCCTGAGAATATGACCTTACTAATCACATCTCCACTTTTGAATTTAATTAGTTTCTATCTTCATTTCTCTTTCTTTTCCTTCTATTTTTTTTCTATATCTCTTTTCACTTCCTTTCTTTTTTGTTTTCTTTGCTTTGCTTTCCATGAATGTCAACAACATGCTCAAATATTTATCATCCCTTTTCTTCCATTCTTCTTTGTTTTTCTTTTGTTTCCCTTTTTTTTTTCCTGTTAACCACAATCTCCTTTTTTAGAATATAGCACTATCAATCTCAGGACAACCAAGGTAGAATAAATATAACTTATGCATGGTTTGGTTAAACATGTGGCTAAAGAAATGAAATTTACATTCAAGTTCAATCACGACTTCTAGGGATGATGTTAAAAAAGAATAGGCCAAGGCTCAAATTAATTCACAAATTGTGTAAGATCATTTCTCAAAAATACATTGTAAGGTACTCTTTTACATTGAGATAAAATCAACTAACTACCCCATTTACACTAACCTTCAACCCTCCAATAAAGAATGACACAAAAACTCAAAGATTTTACACTTTTCAATTTTTTAACAAAATCATCTTCAACGTAATTCACCTTCCTTCCCCGGAGAGACGACCTTGGAATACTTAATTCTAAGTAAAATATGACACTAGAAAGTCTCTCTACGCTTGGGGAGCACTTTTGTATACACACGCACGCATTTCATTCACATTCACATTTTCCCATTTCTTGCATGATATCTGAGGGATAGTGACATTCACCTAACCATATAAGCCACATATACATTACCGGAATCATGGCCAAAAATTAGGAACAAAAGAAAAAGTCAAGTAGGTGTGATTAACCCTACAAAGTGTAGAATTGAATTAGGGTTTAGGGTTTATAGTGTGTGTTAGTTGAATTAAAATGATTTATTTAAATAGTATTATGGTTTATGTTTAATTTATCTATTTTGTAGGGTTTCAAGCATAATTAAGGAAGTTCGAAGGGATAAAAGTGCAGGGAATAACCAAGAAATGGAGGCAAATGTAATTAAAAAGTCAACAAGTCAACAAAGAAGAGTTGCCAGAGAAACACTACCGTCTGAATGGTGGTGGTGGCATCCAGACGGTGCCCTTAACCGCCTTCCTCCTCCTCCTCCTTCACCCATTGCTCCGGTGATGCAACGAAGAGCCTGATTGGCGGACATGGGTGTCTGTCGCCTTACCCCCTTTCGATGCCTATAAATACCCCTATTTAGTCAGTTTTAGGGGGACTTTCATCAGAGGAGAAATCTAGAATCAGAAGGAAGAAAACCCTACCCTAAACACTTTCCAACCAAAAATTTCACTACTTCTGCATTTTTGTTTCATCCTTTATACTTGGAGAGTTGAACCTCTCTCACCTTTGTGGCCTAGCCGGTAATAAGAGTGAGGGTGTGTCAGCTATTCCTTGGGGAAGGACTTTGTGTATTTTGTATTCTGTTGTAATGAGATTATCTCATTATTCTTGCTCGTCTATAGCAATAAAGCATGAGTAGTCCATTGATACTCTTTAGTGAATGGTGAAAACATGTGTAATATTGTTTGAGTTATGAAAATGCCAATATTTTATTCATGCATTAATGTTTATACCTCCCTCAACTGATGGATGGTTATTAGTATTATATGCTCATAGTTATGAACACCAAGCAAAGTTTATTGCTGTATATCATTCTATCTATAAGTTACTACGTACTTCATGCATGATTCAATGATGCATGTAGTTGGATTTTATGTAACAATTGGGTGATAGGTTATAGACGGGTGAAATCTTGCCATAGTCAATTCTTTTGATTCAATGCATAAATCGAAATTCCATCTTCATTAAATCATCAACTTGTCGATTGAATAGTTAGAATAAACCTTTTGAATGGTTCACCTTAAGTTTACTGGAATTATTTGATTGTTGCATGNTCCCTTTTTTTTTTCCTGTTAACCACAATCTCCTTTTTTAGAATATAGCACTATCAATCTCAGGACAACCAAGGTAGAATAAATATAACTTATGCATGGTTTGGTTAAACATGTGGCTAAAGAAATGAAATTTACATTCAAGTTCAATCACGACTTCTAGGGATGATGTTAAAAAAGAATAGGCCAAGGCTCAAATTAATTCACAAATTGTGTAAGATCATTTCTCAAAAATACATTGTAAGGTACTCTTTTACATTGAGATAAAATCAACTAACTACCCCATTTACACTAACCTTCAACCCTCCAATAAAGAATGACACAAAAACTCAAAGATTTTACACTTTTCAATTTTTTAACAAAATCATCTTCAACGTAATTCACCTTCCTTCCCCGGAGAGACGACCTTGGAATACTTAATTCTAAGTAAAATATGACACTAGAAAGTCTCTCTACGCTTGGGGAGCACTTTTTTACACACACGCACGCATTTCATTCACATTCACATTTTCCCATTTCTTGCATGATATCTGAGGGATAGTGACATTCACCTAACCATATAAGCCACATATACATTACCGGAATCATGGCCAAAAATTAGGAACAAAAGAAAAAGTCAAGTAGGTGTGATTAACCCTACAAAGTGTAGAATTGAATTAGGGTTTAGGGTTTATAGTGTGTGTTAGTTGAATTAAAATGATTTATTTAAATAGTATTATGGTTTATGTTTAATTTATCTATTTTGTAGGGTTTCAAGCATAATTAAGGAAGTTCGAAGGGATAAAAGTGCAGGGAATAACCAAGAAATGGAGGCAAATGTAATTAAAAAGTCAACAAGTCAACAAAGAAGAGTTGCCAGAGAAACACTACCGTCTGAATGGTGGTGGTGGCATCCAGACGGTGCCCTTAACCGCCTTCCTCCTCCTCCTCCTTCACCCATTGCTC